CGCTTTAACTCGGAAACCCCGGAGTATATTTAAAAGACTCTCGATTGATTTGACATGAACTTTTCACGCGCAATAAGACGCCTAACTGGGTTCGCTTCACTCCACGATGTTTTTCCTTTCACATCTATGCAGTGATCCTCCATCTTCAATTTTTCAATCCATGCTCGAGAGCCCTCTCTTTTTTGTCCTTAATATCGGGACCAAAATTGGTTGCTCGTTTGAGGTTGTTAATGTGCAGGTGAGTGCAACGGGGGGAATATGTATTTTTCGGACGAAGATGTCCTAGGAAAGACGTGAAATATGCATATGGCAAGCACGTGTTCATCGGCAGGTCATCATTTTCCATGATCGATGCGCTCGGGGAGTTTATTGGATTAAAGTGATCAGGTTCTTTTGGAGTAAAATTGAGTCCGGCGAAATTTCAAGAAAAGGAAGTCACTTTAAGGGATTTATTGGCATCTTCCCCCGAAGAGACGACACCTACTAAGTAGGGGTGATCGGTTTCCGATCCGGTCCGGTTCTAAAATGGAACCGTGAACCGGTACTCCGGTTCCTAATTTTGAGAATCGGGAACCGAATCGATTGGTCATAAGACTAGGAACTGATCACTTTTTTTTATTTTTTCCCACCTTAATGAGAGAGAGTGACAAATTTCAACATATTAACGGAAGCAATGATAAATGAAGAGTTATTGTGATGCGACAACAAGGGGAAAGCGTTGCATGTGAGTTTAATTCACATTTTGCTAATTTTTTGAAGAAATAAAAAAAAAGAATATGTAGTCAGTCCAGTTCAGTCCCGTCCGGTCCTTGCAACCGGAAACCGGACTGTCCGACCATCAGTTCCACTTTTGAGAACCGAGAATCGAACCGACACTCCCGGGAACCGAACCAAATCGGCCGATTCGGGCGGTCCGTTTTGCACGCCCCTGTAGCGAAGGAATTTGGGAAAAAGTAACTCACACTTTACATGAAATTTTTGAAAAGTATAATGAATATATAAATGAAAATGGAAAATGACATCAGTGACAAAACTATGAGGCTGAGGATTTTCTGTTTTTTTTATTGGGGGGGGTTGGATGTTCTTAAAATAGATGCGGCTGCAGGGTACAAAACATCTTCACCTGCCCTTCCGTGCACGGAGGGGGGAAATTTCCAAAAACCGCTTGCGAGGTAAAAGGGCCCGTTTTTCAAAGTTCCTCACATGTGTTGAGTTTGTCCTAAAGATGGTCGGTGCAAAACGAATCGCCCAAATTGGGAACTACTAAGATCGGCCTGGACTGGCCGGTTTGGTATGGTTTCCGGAGTGTTGGTCCGGTTCTCGATTCCCAAAAATAGAACCAGTGTCCAGGCGATCCGATTCCCTATTCTAAGGAGAACCAGACCGAACCAGATCGACTACATATACTCTTTTTTTGTGATTTTGTATAGTCAATATGGGAAACACAATTTATTATCGCATTGGCTCGAATTGCACGCTTATTTTTGTGATTATGTATAGTGGCCATGGTATCAAGTAGTGGAAAAAAAAAAAAGTGATCGGTTCTCAGTCTTAAGACCGATCGGTCCGATCTCCGATCCCCAATTTTGGGAACCAACTCTCCCGGTCTGATTCCTGGTTCCACCCCTATCCTAAAGTACCGGAAATTTGATCCATTGGATCCAAATGACCCTTGAACTTAATGCCGATAAAGATGATCGTCGGTCTATGAACGCGTGCATGTTTCGCTCCTTTGCCAGGGGCAGGTCTGTCCGAAAAAATGACTCGGCCGGAGTGGTCACGACCAATGGAAGGATCAACCCGATTGAATGAGCAGCACTTAGCTAATGGAAGATTAAAATGGGGAAAATTAGCTCTCGCTTTAGCCCATAAACCTTAAAGTATATTTAAAAGACTCTCAATTGACTTGACACGAACTTCTGGCTCGCAAAAAAGACGCCTAACTCGGTTGGCTTTTCCTCTCCTATCCGGAGCGATCCTCCATCTTCAATTTTTCAATCCATGCTCTTATCGTTAATACTGGGACAAAATTGGTGCTTGTTTGAGGTTGATGTAATCGAACAGGATAGTTTCCCCGGTCAAATCCATAGTTAAAAACGATTAAAACCCATCAAATCATATTAGTGATGATATCACTCCGAGCAAATTAACAAACTCTTTCACAAATAGGATCGACATGGGTCCAATTACATGAAATTTATGTCATACTGGCACGAGATCACACAAATTACGACAAGTATTATATTGAAGCTATGCATAGAGAGACGAAACCATATGCGATTGTGATAATACCCGTTCTGGAGTAATTTCATGGGAATAATTATCTAAAAAGACCTAAACTTATTATTCGGCGGCCAATTCGGTCCTAAAATTATCAATTTGATCATTTAATTTTAAACATTTTGAAAATTTCCCAATGATTGGCCGGAAATCGCTGATGTTGAGATCCAATCAGTATCAGCCATCCTACATGGCAATGATCGGTGTCGACGTGGACGACTTTTGCAATTTTTTTTATGATTTTCTATATTTTTTATTCTTTTTTATTCTTTTTCTTTTTTCCTTCTTCCTCCACCGGTTGCTGACATTCACTACAGTAATTGCCGGTTAAAATTGGTCAGAAGGACTACATTGGCAAATCATAAAAAAAATTTAAGACCAAATCAACTAAATTGAAAGATTTATGACTGAATTGATCATCCTATAATAGGTTTAAGACTTTTTGGACAATTACCCCTAATATAATGTTTGGAGTTTTTCGAGGGGACCAAGAAGGGACACGACCATATGGCTTATTTAATGACACGATTTCGATGTCTATTTTCTTTTTTTTTGTCGAACTCAATTTCAATGTTGCGCAACTATAATTTGACAAATCATGCCATGCTAAGCAATTGCTTTTACTTAATTGGTTTAGTGGCAACAACCCCCGGCGAGGAGGAAAGTTCTTTGTCGTCAAGTCGACGAACGAGGGGATGCGCGTGCTAGGAAATTCGGATCTTCCTGCCCAACCGATGCGATGCAGAAAATATTCTGCACAGACGCACACGCCTTTTCTTGCTTCCTTCTTTTCGTTTTCTTAACGTAGGACGGCACAAATTATTGGCTTGATTATGCCACGGATACGTACGAATTTCTCAAGCAACGGGCTATCGGATAAGACTCCATCCGTAGAACAACAGCTGTAAGCCATAGCCCTTAGCTTCTCTCGAGAAAGAGAAAGCGATCTTATGAACGCGGGAGCTACCGGCGTTCGTACCAAATATTTCGACGACTCGACTTAACCCTTTTAATCAACATTCCCGACTTTTCTCGAGATGATTGAAGAGAGAGAGAGAGAGAGAGAGAGAGAGATTACTACATGGAATAGAATATAACGTGTCAAGCTATTCAACGTTCTTGTGGCAAACAAGTGAGTGCCTTTTATATTAGAGTTGAGTTTGAAAAGAGACGTAAAAAAAATGGGTGCTTTGCATCGAAAACGTCCTTTCTTTGTTGTGATCCCTAATTCTTGTCATCGTGTCAATTGAATCCCATTGTGCTACTGAATTTACACTCTAATACATTGTCTTTCATATACTCGAATCCGGAATCTTAGATTCTATTTCCCTTATAGCGTTTGAGTTTCTCGCTCGGTTTCGGTCCTCTCTGGGTTTTATCACTCGCGCTCTATCATCCAAAAGATTAGGTATTATCTTTGTTCCGCATACATCTAGTCACTGCCGGCGAGTCCTTTCGGGTTTGCCCTCCGCCACGACTTTGACGCTCAATCGCAGTGAGCATGTGTGACGCTCCCATTCTCGAACCTCAAACATCATGCTCCTTGAATCCGAGTCGGCATGACAGCTCGATAGTCTCCTCTGAACATGCTTGGATACTCCACGACTCAGTACGGTCCTTTGCATGCGAAACACGCCTATTGGCATCTCGCCTCAGTTTAAAACGGCTATAAGGGGCTAAGCTTCAAAATGAGAGTCTTGCTATCCTAGATCGTTGAAGGCGAGGGCCGCGCAACCCTCGTCCTTCAACAGCAAGGATCGCTCCACCTCGCCATTAGGCACCTCTCTCGGTTGCAAATCCTTCCCCACCACTGTCAACCCTCTCTTATTCGTCTTTCCCTGGAGGGGTTGACATGGTGACGCATAGCTAGCGCCACACCGGCCATACATGTCGATCTTCGCCTAATGATAGGGAAGTTAAAAGGAGAAACTCGATCGCACAAAGCTAAAATGGGGGGAAACTGTCGGTAACCAGCAAAGGAAAAGGGGAAACTGTAAAAACGACACCCCTGCGCTCGTCCGTTATAGAGAGAGAGAGAGAGAGAGAGAGAAAGATAGAACTACAATTCGTACCCAAAGCCCCCTCACTTTCCTTTCCCCCATCATCTCAAATCGTTCTCAAGGGGGAGGGAGATGGGGTCTGACACGGGACTCGTGGTTCGCTATGATCACGAAACAGGTGGAAAAGAAAACGGAGGAACGACAGTCCCACATCTTTATCTCCCCCGCTCTCTCTCTCTCTCTCTCTATCTCTCTCTCACCCTGTTCTCGAGAAGATCTTGTTCGCAATGGAAATCCATTCGTTCGCCATTAAATTAAGTTAAAGAAACAAAAAGAGAGAGAATCATGGATTAGGGCACGCTCATCCACATGTGCCGATGGGCTTTCCTGTCCTAAAAAATAATTCCAACCCTCCTGTCCATAACGTGGTCCCCCCCCCCTCCCCTCCCCTCCCGCAGCGCCATCATCTCCACGAAGAAAAAGACCAGGAAGGAAAAACATTATCTTTTTCTTTCGTGCAGGGAGGAGGGGAGAGCACTTCACGAGCGAGCAAGGGGAGGGGGGGGGGGGCTGGAACCACAATCCCCGAACACGTCGCTTTCTCAATGGCCACAAACGCGTGCATGCAACGTAAGTACATGGGAATGCAGACAACAAGAACACCAACCGAATTCAATTGAATCTGCTAAAGAAAAGGGAGCGAAAGAAACACCAAACCCACGAACAAATCACAGAGCACGCTTTTTGACATTTCACACCAGCAGAGAGAGCTTTCACGAGAGCAAAAGAGGTTCAAAAGTTTACACCAAAGCGCAACGCAACATAATAGCCAAGACATGCCTGCTCTACCCACCAAAGCCTTTTTTATAATTACAACCCACTTTCACCAAATCGCAGCGCAGCAACCACTAGCAGTAAAAAGCAAAAGCACCGGAAAGAGCTCGGAGTCTTCCTCTTCTCTTGGGTGGGGTTTATGACTTGTGCATGGAAATAACCATCTCCCAAGGGGGGGATTTTAGCACATATGATAAAAGGGGTTTCAAGTGGGGGAGGAAGAAATCTCTCTCTCGCTCTCTTTTACACAAAAAGGGGGTGACCCACAAAGGATAAAACAGCACTAAGTTCAGGAAAAGGGTGGGAGAAAGCGAGGGTTGGGACCCAGGACAATAAGAGGCGTGCAAATCCCCTCTTCACTTGGTCTGCTCATTCACACATCCAACTTCTTTGCTCAGTCCAAACTTTGAGTCCTACTTTCACTAAACCCTAAAATATAGACTAATGATGATTCAACCCTATTGCTGGGACAGCAAGTGGTGCTCTGCTCACACAAAATGCTCCAGTCTAGATAGCGAGAACAGCTTTTGTGTTCCACACAGCTTGCAAACCTCCACACCAATCACTATAGAGAGACCCTTTCCGTTTTGCCATATGCACAAGGCCCTGTGCTCGAACACCACGTCTTCGAACTTATTTTGCACACACTAAACATTACATTCGCTACTAATTAAACAGAAGCAGGTACGTAGGACAACTTGTAAAAGTGCCAGACCACTGGTAGAAACATACGGGTTTACGGGGTGAGCCCAAGAGCTTCGGCTTTGCGCTTCAAGGATTTCAAGTAGTTGATGGCTTCATCAAGAACCACGATAGCGTTCTTCCCCTTCCCACCGGGAACTATGGTTTGCAGAATGTTGACAGTCTCACGGATTCTCTCCCTTTTAATCTTCTTGTCGCCAGATATTGAAGCCAAGTCGTAGGCGTAATTTTTTCCATCACCACTACTGGATTTAGCATCATCCTCAGACCCAATAGACAGGTTCAGATAAGATGTTGCGGTGTCCACAAGAGATGGCAGCTGATTACCATCTCCACAGGAAGTCTTTCGCCTCTTGACAGGCCAAATTGAACTAGCTACCTCCTCATTACTTTCTTCAGACAAACCACGTCTCTCGTGATCTGTCATCGTGCTGGGTGAATGGCCAGTACTGGTAACTTCATCGTCGTCGTCGCCGTCGGAGTAGTCAGTATCATCATCCGAGTAGAGCAAGGCATTGAGTTCTTCCGTATCTTCCCGCATCTCACTTTGCACATCAGTTTCTGGGTTTTCATGTATTCTCTCCATCGATAAAGGCCCAAAATGATTATCATGATCCTTGTTGCTCCCTGCAACATCGTTGATAGCACTTCTAGGACAGAGTTGTTTTGTAGTCCAGGGAGGTAAGCCCTCGGTAGGAACTCCATTCCCAGAACTATAAATCAGAGTAGTCTGATCACCCGACCGATCAAAAACAACAAATTTCTTCTGCACACCGACAGAGCCCGCGTTAGGAATGCTGAAATCCCTCCATTTCTCGAAAGTGGTAGCGGGGAGCTTGTCTTCTAGAACCAAATTGTCCGAAGTAGGGCCCAAAGCCTGCCGGAAGTGCGGCAAGCAATAAAACCAACCTTGAGGTTCGTAAGATTGGCTTATCCGAGGATGAGGTAGTCCAGAAAACACATCCAGTGGCAATACTTGATCGGAAGGAACCATTTTCTGGCCACCACTTTTCTGGGCCGAGATGAGACCTGGATACCCCAAGTTGAATTGGAAATTTGGCAGATCTGAATTAGGCAATTGCCAAGGAAAGTGTTGCTGCGGGAATCCGCCGCCTTCTCCCATCCAACCAAAACAATCACCTGGAAAAGATTAAGCGAGAACACTGACCTTTACTAAATCCACAATGTTACACATTCTAGATTTAAGATAGGTAAGTTTCCAGCATAAACAATTGAAAAGGTACCTGATGGACCTTGTAATAATAGAAGTGGCTGATTGCTTGCTACTTGATTGAGAAACAAGAGGAAAAAACTAAGAACACCAGCTTAAGAGGAACACGAAGGAGCGAAATCTATCTACGTTACAGGCTTAAGCAAATGACGAAAGTATTCAGCCTGAAAAAAGAAACCAAGAGAAAAAAAAAAAATCGTATCAGTAAGCAGCATAGCCAAAACCTAATCTTAAGCAAAGAAAGAAGAATAGTTCAAACGAGGGGGCACGGTTGAGTGCATACGAAAAATCACCAACAGAAAAGTTTCGAACATATCTTGCTAGTGGGGAAAACAGAGCACACCGTGATCTCTTACTAACCTGGCAATCTTGAAGAGGTTGAAAGCACGCTATCACTCTAACAATAATGGTAGCATTCCCAGCAATCCCATTTTCGTGTTTCAATGCCCGGAATCTCGTTTGGCTTGCTGCTTGGCACACCATAACTACACTTCCCAACCCCCTCACTCAAGAAGTTTCGACCCTTTTGATCTCCCAGAAGAGCAGCAGAATCAGCACCCAAGAAACAGGAAACAAAATCAAAGATCTCGAGGAACAACGAGGACGCCGACAGATGATCAGAAAAGCTCGGATACCCACAGAGCACTTCCGCGTCCAAACAGAGAGGCACAGACGGGAGATCAAGAAACTAAGGAACTAACAACAAGAAACGGAGACTCGTCCAATTACTGGGCAGCGAAGGAAAGACGCTAGTAAATTCCACAGATGGGGACTACGAGTAAATTTTCAGCTAATCTGGCGGACGTAGCAAGGGACGACGACGAAGAAAGTGGATCCCATGGGGAAAGAGATGGTTCTGACCAACAGGGGGGGGGGGGGGGAGGAGAAAGGTAAGGCGAGGATATCAAAATCTGGGGAGTATGGAGGACAAAGCGAAAGTTACAGAATAACCCTGCAGAACAGGTTCAGAGAGATGGCTTTTCGGAATACGTCAATCGAGAGACTCCACCACCGCATGCTGTTCCGCTTCTTCCACTGCTCCCTGCACAGATCGCCACGATAGCTCCCCCGCAGATAAAAGCCTGCAACAAAGTAAAAAATTGCCGCGGTTTCAGAGCCGACCCACCAACACAAACCACACACACACAAACAAAAAACAGAGCTTCGCCGGCAGAAAACCAAGCCCGAATCCCTCCTCGACGACGGGACACGTCGGGGAAAATCGGGATCAAGAAGGCAAGAAAGTCTCGAGGGAAACGAGACGAGACGAAGGCCGATCTAGCGAGCACCGGCGACGAGGGGGGGCCCGGAGGTCACGCGCAGAGCCGAGCCCGGAAGCGACGAATCTCGACCGCGGAACGAGGGAAAGCAGAGGGGGGCTCGGCTCGCCGGAACCCGCCGGAGAATCGGGCGACGGGGGGCCCGGCGAGGAAGGAGGGAGGGGGGAAAAAAACGGACGACACGCCCAGAAGACGAAATCCATACCTCGAGCGTTGGTTCTGCCCCGCGAAGCGAATCCCACCAGCACAGAGAGAGAGAGAGAGAGAGAGACTGCGGAATCAAGGAAGAGAGATCGCGAGCTCTCGCACACCACGCACCGCTCGAAAAGGCGTTCCACAGAGTCAAAAAATACCAGAGGAGAGAGAGAGCGAGAGAGCAGAGAGCAGAGAGACTGGGTGGACGGACGGAGGAGAAAGATTATATAGAGGGGTGAATTGACGGAAACGCCCCTGGATAAGGGAGGGCATTTTTTTCTTTCTTTTTTTTTTTTATTTTTGATTTTTCTGTATTTTCCTTTTTTTTTTTAGAAGGTGGGAGGAAATGAAAAAGAAAAGGAGCAGGAGAAAGGAATAAAATAAGAAATAAAAATAAAAAAAGTCGGGGAAGGGAAGGGGAAGGGGAGGGCGAGTGCATACGTGCGCGGGAGGAATGAGGAGCGCACGCGAGGTATGAGTGTACCATGATGAACGGCCAAACCTTAGCCCCAAGTTTTGCTTCGGGGCGGGGTGGGGGCCGGGCCCCTCTCCGACCGTATTTTCGTATTCTACGCATGATTCGTATCTGAACTCGGGACTATTCGCCGTGTATCTCTAAACGGCTCACGCGGCGTCTTGTACCTAACGCATTTTCCTTCTATCGGTGAATTCCGGCGGGCCCACCGGTTCAGGTCGGCTTCCCCTTCGATACTATGGCGAGAACGATCCGGAGCGGCTCCTCGCGCGGTACCGTATCTGGAATCGGGCTTCCATCTTGGTTGCCCGATGTCTTGACTCGGTCTTCAGAAGCATTTTATGTCCCGCCAATCGGACAAGCGTTTTTAATTTTTCTCGGGGCGTCTCCGCTTCCGAAATTGAAGAGTGAATTCCATCGAGCTCTGGATATTGATGCGCATGACGAACTGGAGATCAAACTACAGTGCATATTTTCGAAATGAGACCGTAATGCAAGCCCTAACTTGATCCACTCGGAATATCGTTCGCTTTGATCGGTTTTATACTGGGTTCCACCGTTTTGTGCCGCACAAATCACCAAGCAAAATCCACGAACAAGAAGTTCCAAAATTTCCAACCAGCTTGTTTGATTCTCTTTTTTTTTGTACGACTGGTTCTTTCCGCGAGTTGGGTACCGACACTCGAACCGAATTACGCAAATACTCGTGTTCTTTATTTATTCCTCACTAATTTCTTTAGCAATTTTGTTCACTAGTCTTATAGATCAAACCGACGTCCTCTTGAACTTGATAAATGCGAAGAAGACGGCTCCATGGAGCAAGGAAGGAGGTGGAGCAGGTACTCAACATGAACATAGAGGTGATGATGGAGGAGATCGGGAGCATGAAATCGCTACCGTAGACGTGGCGGATCGTCGAAGAGGTGGAGGGTGCCGAGGTATATGATCTTGATGGAATGGAGCTGCAAAAGAGATACATAGGATTCGCAACATGGATCCTCTCCCTTTTATACCTCTGGTCATTCGTTAATGCTTTCCTAAAGTTTTACCATCAAAGCTAACATTATCTCTAAAAATCCGATTTTTCGCTAACTCAGTTACAAACTAAGCTCCCTATCTCCATCAATCGCATGTCGATTCAAAAAATTCAAAAGGGTTAATATGCATACTGCGACACCGCGAAGAAGACGAACAAACTTTCGAGATGGAAACAAGAGATCTTTTTCGACGCGCATGAATGGATCGGAAAGTACGAACATTCTTATGTACCTTTCCACCAAATTTCTTCAAACTACACTCGACGAACGACAACAACAATAACAATGGGGGCGAACACAAACGACCAAGACGAAAGATGTCGTCAAGACAATGGGGGGATTTTACCAAAGTGGGGGGAGGATGGCATCCAATGTTTTAGCCATGGACACCAATAATTTGGAGATTGACCGTTCAAACCGTATGTTGAATCATGGGCGAGGATGCGTCGTGGGGGACCCGCTCGATCAGTGTCATCTTTGGGGGTGCATCATGCCAAGAATTTGGCACTCCTGACAAAAATCGATCTCATCACCCTCTCCCTCCCTCTCTCTCTCTCTGTAATTTTCATTCACTGTCCATCCATCTTCAAGGTTTTTTTGGTGGGGGTTAAAAAGTGCGGCCATAGTTATAGTAGGCAATAGGCACTTTGCCCAACAAAAAGTACTTTTTGGTTTGATTTGATGTATGGATGTGTCACAACCATCAAAGGAGTCATCATGGAAGATGGGATGTTCTGGGATTTACTCCAATATGGGTATGGAAATTGTATGATTATGTGTGTAGATTAAAGAAATCAATTTTGTCCGGAATATATAGATATATTGTAGACTCATTTTCAAGAATTTTGTGGAGGGCAGAACTTTTATGAAGGCGGGTGCGAAAACTATGGAATATTTTCAAATTTTTTGTGGAGAGGAAATGAAAGGAAGGAAAGTTTTGAATCTAAGGAATTTTCTTCCCATATTTTCTTCATAGGCTCTCTCCCAAACAAAGCAGACACAGGGTCTTTTTTTTTTCCGAATTTTTATTAATTTCACTCTCGATGTAAGTAGCATTTATGAATTTATTATTAGATCAATGGGTTTGCAAAGCTCTTTTTTATTTATTTATTAATCTACCGTACTATAATTGATGTATTATTAAAAAGTATGGCAAACTCAACTGATCATGTTGAATAACTAATTCGACCGTACCACGTTGCTAAATATATATCAATATTGTGTGCCAATTTATTGGTATTTAGCATCACTCCTCTAAAACAGCTCGGACCCTTCCTTGCTTGAAATGGAACCAAGTAACTCATTGCCATGTATGCGATCGACGCAACGGGTCTAAGAGACTCTAAAGAAAACTCAGAAAGTTCACGGACAAAATTGGAAAGAATAAATGTCAAGACTCGATTATAAAACATGACCAAGTTTGGGAAAAGCCGTCTCATTTTCATCCGCACATAAGTACGGCATATTGCATAAACCGGGATAGACGTTGGCCGTGCGGAATTATGCACCTGAACTGAAAAGGCTAACGTGACGGATCAACATTGAGCGTGTCCACACGATTTCTTTTTGCGTGTGTGACGTGTTTGTTGATCTCTCTTATGCCATGCGCTCGATTTTCCCCGCGTATGTTGTCACGTTTCCAATTCGCTGAGTAATCTGCGCTTCTCGACTAGGGTAGACTCCTCATGTCTCGTGCTGCATTTAGTTACTTCTCATCAATTAACATCCTGTTCTCATCAACCAACAAGAACCCCAAATCAGTTGACTTTCAAAGCGAAATCAATAACCAGAAACCCCCCTAGCCAAAAAAAACACATAATTAACTCGAGAGGGGGACCGTGATCCTATCACCTGACAGAGATCTCATCTGCGAAAAGATGAGATGCGTTTGCCCCCATGTATGGCCCTTGGAATTAAATATAAACCGATAATTAACAACATGAGCACGTCCCACGAGCTTTTGTTTGGAGTGGGGGGAACAATCTGTACACACCCAAATCAAGCTTTTCCTTCCTTTCCCCACCTATTTTTATCCAATCCAATCCCATTGGGTCTACGCTTTTGGTGGCACCAACACACTCCTCCCATAGACGAGTGAGATGTAAAGCTGGGATTCCCTCGCACGTCTAACCTCTTGATTTAATCATTAATAGTAATTACACCGAAGTGATCAATATAGTAATCCCATGTGGTACCATATGCTATGATCCGAGCATTCTTTTAAGCAATAATTGGTGGCCCTCTAATTGGGATTTTGGCAATGTGCCTTGAGGGGGCGGGGGTGTGGCATGGGAATCATGGGCGTGGATTGAGCACTTGACTAAAAGCCACATGCTTTCTAATTAAGAAATTATAAAAGCGAGAAAAAAAAGAAGAAGAAAAAAAAATAATACCCTTCTCTTTTCCAACTCGAAAGGCACAAAGCGAAGATGATCTTCTTGCACGAGCTCTTTTGCTTTGGTAGCTTCTCGCACTTGGGAGGAGGAATTGGACGATCATGGGGTTATTTTGATGTTCGTCCAAAAAAGGTAGATACCCTTTTGACAAATTAGGAGGGAACCCAACGTGTGCGTATCATGTGTTAATGTAGCGAGTGATTTTGTTCAAAAGGAGAACGAAAGATCATGAGCGATTTACATATCCAGGGGGATTTGATTTTCGTGGATGATCATGTACTTGGAAGTCGAGCTGACGAATGATTCGCGTGCATAAACCTCTCCGGCACCGGCTTTATCGTCACGGGATCAGGAAACCATCGATAAATCTAGTTAGAATGATCTTCGCTCAAAAGGTTGAGCCGATGAGTTATTGGCTAACTAGTTAAAAATATATTAATAGCTCCGCATCGTACCAAATAATCTCAAACTTGAACCAACGATACTTCTTTAATACAGCTCAGATTTGCACCTCGGTAATCTCCTCGTCATGTGTGTGCTCCCTTTTACTCCAATTATTTTTCTGCATCGGCATATCTCAACTTGGCTATACACGCGCAACTATGCACAACAGCCGCCATCAACTACTAATTCGATATCATGATGTTGTAGCCCCACACCTACCTTCACCTAAGGTTTGTACGTCGTATTGCCAGAGTAACCGCCCATGGTCTCTTCTTGCCAAACCAATAGTGATAGCAATTTCAACTCGAAATCTTTGTTGATCATGAGATTTATTCGTTGAGATATCCAACAAATATGAGAACAAATCGGTAGTCCACCATTCACTATCGGTTCTAATGTCATTTGTTGAGATACACGATAAAAGTTTGTACTTCCAGTTTGTGAGGTCATCAAGAGTGAACTTGACTTCGAGCCCATCAACACATTTAGTTGAACATACATTCACTCTAAAACTTGAACCTATGAGTTATAGGCTAACTATGATAAATTGATTATTTCACACCACATCAAATATTTGATAAGAAAACTATCTTATACAACTCACATGACACCTCGATAATACCAATTTAGCCCTAAATCAATAGTAAATCGATCTTACTAACCACGATGTGTTCGATGACCAATAGCTTAAATTTTTGGGAAAAATTAATTTCCTAACAAATTATCCTGGAAAGGCAAACTTGAGCTTTTTGACGC